AGGGGGATATTTGTAATCTCCTACTTCCTTTATGTTATGTTAATATAAATAAGAAGCTGGGCGTTGCCAGCAATACTTTTTGACTCTCAATCAGATCTCTCTCTCTTCCCTTCTCTTCTCCTCTCTTCTCTCCTCTCTCTTCTCTCTCTCTCTCCAAGAAAGAAAACGTTGGTATCAGAACGCAATTCTGGGCTATAGGGATCCTTTCTCTCATCTGAATCAAATCTCTTCCCAGTTTTTTCCTCTTGATCCCTTGGACGTTGAAGACAAAAAAAAACCTAATCGGACTGGTCAGGCGACTTGTTACCATCTTTTTTTTTGGGTTCTTCCTTGGTCATAGCACTAAGGAAACCCTAGTAGAAGAGGGCCGATGCTGGGAAGGCCTTTCTTCTCTTTGATCGATGCTGTGAAGACTTCTTTCTGTGTTTGCACCTTCGTACAGGTGCTGGACAGGGGTGTGTCTCCTTTTTCTCTGTGGTTAATGCTGTGAAGGCCTCTTTTCTGGGTTTACACCTCCGTACAGGCGCTGGGCAGGGGTGTGTAGTTTCTTTTTTATCACAGGTATGTGTTTTAGTCAGTTGGTATGACTCCTTATTAATGGTCGAACTGTTAGTGGACTATTTTAATGGCCGGACTGTTGCTGGACTGTTTTAATGCTGATTACTGGACTGTTCTGAACTGTTACTGGACTGATTTCAGCAGTACTTTTCTCATTTCAGAAGCAAGGTCTTTGGGGTTTAGCATTCTGATTATGACTGTAAAGATAGTAGTTGTGTGGAGAACTGGTCTGGTGCACTTGTGGTTCTGTTTTCTGTAGTGTAGACCCTCCCCCTCAATGGCAAATGATGATTCTGCTTCATCTGGGGTTACATCAACCCGTAGCATAGCTGGTATGGGAGGTGAAAACATGATGTTTCCCATGCCAATTGCCCCTTTAAATGGCCTAAACTATCTGGAGTGGGCTAAAAGTGTAAAACTTTATGTAACAGCAAGGGGAAAAGCTGGTTACATAAATGGAAGAGTGAAAGAACCCAAGAGTGAGTCAGCTGAACATGATAGGTGGGACCAAGAAAACTGTTGGTTTGAGTGGTTAAGTGTTGGTGGGCTTAGTTTAACTTTCATGTTTAAGTTCCTAGTCTATTATGGGCCTTTAGTTATTGGGCCTAAACCTGTTTTATTTTTCTTTATTATGTCTAGGTGTCCCATCACTAATCAGGGGCATTTTAGTCCTTTTATGTAACCTCTTATTGTAAATATATATACTAGCTTCTAGGGCCGGCTAAGACACTATTGCTGCCCATTCTCAAACCTCTTCTCTTCTCTTCTTCTTCCTCTTCTACTGCTGTTCTCCAGCAAACATGGTATCAGAGCTCCATTCGGCCTGACTGGTTACAACTAGTTTCCTTCTTTTCCTCTTCTCTGTTCCTTTTTTTCTCTCTTATCTCTACTACTGTGAAGAAACCCTAGGGCTGACCGTAGACAATAGCAAGGCCTGTATCTAGGGTTTCTCTTGGCTGTAGGGCCCAAGGGGAGTTTTTCCTAGAAGCTTATGCCCTACTAGTGGTTCTGTGCAGTTAGTAACCATTCGGCTGCTAGAGAGATTTGTGTAGAACAGATCTAGGTAGAAGGACTGAGTAGACAGTCCTAGTTGGTGTCTGGGAGATTGAACAGACCGTAGGGTGGTCACAGTCCAGGTTCGACCTCCAGAAGTGGTGTTGTTTTCAGTTCAGTATCTGCTCAGCCTGAAGTGGTGTTGTTTTCAGCCCAGAAGTGCTTCAGTACAGTTACAGACTGTACTTCTTTCCTTGATGTCCCCTTGAATATCCTTTTACTTCTTTCCTCCCACAATGACCAGAGAATAGCTGCCTTACTGCATCTCCATGAAAGCCTATTTTTTCTAGTAAGAAAGGGAAGGAAAGAAACATCAAACAGCCTTGCAATGTCAATTGGTGGAAGCCATCTATAACCAAAATGAGAAAGAAAACCATTCCCAAATGCTAGGCACAAAACCAAAAGAAATTAGTAAATGGTGAGTTAACTCTCAACTAGCAAAACAAAGGAAACAAGCTACATCTACGAGGAGTCACATTGGTGCAACAAGGCAGTGCCTTCAAAGAAGGCTGTTGGGTTGGTTTCTGGTGAGACATTGTATACTTGTCCTCAGGAGGTTTGTGCGCAAGATAAGGTGGTTAGAGGAAGCAGTGATAGAGCACCTTGTGAATGATGATGCTCAAATGGGAAGGAATTGGGTTTGATTTTCATGGGTGGTGAAGAAAGGGCTAGGGAGTACTTTTGAGCTTTGGGGACCGAGGCTGTTAACCAGAGACACTCCAAGGACTTGTGTACAGTTTAGAGGAAGAGCAATGCAGTGAGGAGTCCCTGGATAATGCTATGGAACTGTATGACTTTGATGGCCTTCCAGGGAGCAGAAATCTGAGGAGACTAGAAGATTTGTATGTTGATAAGCTGGTGCAAGCTGATCCGAAATCTGCTAAAAGTGTGCAAGGGAGATGCAGGAATTCATTGTGATGTGATCCAGTACCGTTTGGTTTTGGGTAGCAATCTGGTTGCTAGCTTCTGAAGCTTGGTTTTGTGGAGTTCCTCATCTGGTGTTGGCTTTGAGGCAATGTTCTTAAGGATGAATTTTGGGTTTGTTTTGGTGTTGAGCTTTTCTCTGTGGGGGAGGGTTGGTTTTGAGGGGATTTGTATATTTTCTATATTGAGGAGGGGGATTTCAGTTTCTGCGGCTCCCCCATCAGATTTGTCCTTGCAAGTTTATATTTTCTTTTCTTTTCTTTTCTTTTCCTTTTTTAATATAATTTAAACTTAACTACCAAAAAAATTAATGTTTTGACCTAACTTTTTTCTTGCATAAGTTCTTTGATGCTAAGGTCCTTTGGGTGTGGGTTTAACATTATATGTTTCCACATTTTAGAATTATACATTAGTACTCGGTAGATTGTTATTAGGTACCTTGAATTTCTCACAGCTTCAATAATGTTTATTTATTTAATAACTTGCACAAAAAAATGAAACTTAATGGAACAGTTAATCATGGCTTGTAGGGGTTGGATCAGGTACATTATCCCTTGTATTTTTGTATCCATTGCGGCTTTCATGATTTGGCACAAGTTTTGCAACAAAGGGAAGCCATTGGAAGCTTTCATAGTTACAGCTCCTCCAACTCGAAATGCTGTAGAACAACTGCTATCATTACAGGAAGCAATTTCTCAATTTGAAACACTGGTTCAAGCTGGAAATATTATTCTCCTCAAGCTAAGAGCACTCTTGTTTGGTGCTCTTCCTCAGGTTTTCATCTCAACATACCTAAAGAACCTTAAAGAATTTTTCTTCCTGTAAGCTTCCTGTAAGCTTCCTGTAAGCTAAGAGCACCCTTTTATATACTTAAATTCCATGTTCTAGTTCCTGTAAGCTTCCATCTCAACATCTATGCTGTTACCTTTGCAGGGTTAAATTACCTCTTGGTGGATATGCCAAAAAGAAAGTATGATTATCTGATCTGGATTTTTCCCAAATAGATCAGATATGTTTAAATATGTGGCATCGTAAAATTGTTCAGCACTTGTCTTCATATGCTAGTTGTGTGGCACGTGTTGCATGTGCAAGATGATATATAGAAGGGGTAGTTTTGGTTATTAAAAACAATATATAAGGATAAAGATAGGAAATTGAATAAATAGAAGGGGTATTTAAGTATATAAAAGTTAAAACATTAACTATAGTTGGGCGTGAAAAATCATCGAAAACGTATTTTATTTAAAAATACAAAATTGATATAAAGGATTATTGTTGACCTGAACCTTTTTTCATTAGATTTATGTTCTTTTTGAAGTCTGTATGCTTAATTGCAGATCAATGGAAGATATATTCTACTAAGAAACTTTTGAACTATTATAGTTGATCAATGGTCAAATAGACCTTGTTGATTGCAAGCAATAAAAACCACTTTGGATTACTAAATATCCTTTAAGAGGAGACAAAGTATTATAATGTAATAAATTAAAAAAAAAAAGAATAAGGGTATTACTGAAAGTTGATCATCCAATGATCATTTTGTGCCAAAAATCCAGCAACTAGAAAGATAGGATTTCAAAAATTTATGGAACCCTAATGCTAAAATTGCACAATATGAAAAGAACTAGTTTTTCTCATTAGGTCGATTGGGTTTTTGGACCATGAAAGATCAGATCTTTTTGGATCAAGATTGAGTGCATTACCTGATTTTGAATTCCACAAATGCATAATCCRAAGTGGTGCTCACACCCAAGCTTGAATCTTCCTAGTAATACTGCAACAAGTTGAAGATGGTGCAACTCTATCCTTAGTCTTGGATTTCTTCTCCAGAATGTACAACAGCAAAGGTCTGACCTTTCTCACGTTTTTGGGTGGTTTTCTTTACCCAAAACAAAGCTGCAATAGTGCTACAAACAATGGATAAAAGCTCTGGTAGAACGGGATTCAAAACCTAGCAAAAGGGTCTCACAATGGTGGGATTGAATTCAGCTAGTAAGGGAGAACATGCATTGTTTGATCCCTTCTCATTCCTCTTTATTTATAGACTTGGGAGGGCTGCAAGAGCCCTCTCCTAATCTATTTACAACTCCTAATTCACTTATGATAAGATTAGAGAGAGTCCAGCTCTCTTAAATCAGCCTTAGGTTGGCTCATTGGAATCCATCTAACTAGTCTAATTAGTCAAATCCTAATCTTACTAAACATGTCTAGCACATAGTTTGACTAGGAATCTAATGTGAAACTCTTAATTATTCATTAGCACTCTATTATTTATGGAAAATATTTATCCAATTAGGAAATTACAGCTTGTATGGTGTGGGACCCACAACTTAATGGGAGAGCCAACATGTCACATGCTTTATATAAGCTAGTGGGGCCAGACACTTAAGTTTTAATTAGCCATTATAGGCTAATTCGACCATAACTGTCATGGGCTTAAATGATCAGGCCTATTAAGTGTCTAAACACTTAAAAATCACTTGGAACCTTACCATCCTAAAGGCCCAAGTATATTGGTTCAGCCACTGTTATGTCATAATCAAGTCAATATAGTCCAATCAATCACTTGCAATCAATCTCTTTGCTATAAAAACTTGACCCACATTAAGGGAATGACTCTTTCCCTCTTTGTCTTTATAACATGGTGTCCAATTTCCAACACCACTAGATCCTTCATTGATGATTTAGATAATCCTAGTGCTGGTAGATTTAGGACTCCAAGGAGGAAGTTGTACAAAGTGTTATCTATGTCTTGTCATAGTATTGGATCCTATCACATTGATCATCAATCAAGATACCTTTCTTAAATATCCCAACATATCTAGATATTTAACCCTAGAAGGATCTCCCTGGTTGGCATATCAAACATAGATAAGTCTGATACTCAATCTGATATCAATATCAAGTTTAGGGATTAAAAGCAACACTAGTTGTTCCACTTGTCAAAAAGTCCAGGAGAATGTTGGGTTTGGTCCAATTCAATGTTTCTTGTAAACACTCACCTTCACACCTTAGGTCACAACCTGAGCAAATGAGACCCATTTCCCCAAGTGTATCCACTGGTTGTGAAGTTTTAAGTCCATATTATAACAATCATGTGGTCTCATACATAATACTTTTATGAACTAAGGGCATTTAGCACAACAGTGTTGGAAGGGTTAGAAATCAAATTAAACTTAGCCAAACCAAGTTTAGTGGTTGGCCTAATTTTTAAAATTCTTTTTAACCCCAACTGGGAACCAATTTCCCGGTAATTTTGAAATCTGAAATTTCGGGATCGATCTTGCACTAAATTGGACCAGATTTGAAACCAAATTAAAAACTGATTGTTGGATTGAAGTCTTTGTATGTATGAGTATTCGGCTGATAAGAGTTCTTATTAGCCTATACTTAAGTTTAAGTTGTCCTGTACTGGGCCTATGTTAATGGGCCTAATCCTGTTTAATGTTTTAAGTTGTTTGGGTGTCCCATCACTAATCAGGGGCATTCTAGTAACTTCCTGTATCATTGTACTACATYATAATATAAATAATAGTACTGTCGACTGAGCAGTTCAGTTCGACATTCCAGCATCTCTTCTTCTTCTTCTTCTTCTCCTTTCTGCTACTTCGGCTACAGTAGTTTAGCTTTCACTGATTATACCTGATACAGAGTCCACAATCTGCAGCTCTGAGAGTGGTAGTTCATGCCCAATTTCAGTCCCAAAATCGGCCTCCAATTGAAGATGGTGCAGTGTGTATGTGAAGCCAATTCAGCAACACCATTACAGCAAAAATAGGTCTCCAACTTTCTTGGATCGAAGTGGGTATGTGAACCTGATATGCTATGATGTTTTTCTTGCAAATACACAGTAGAGGACTGATGGAAATCTGCACCAATCATAGCTGGGTCAAATTAGGGTTTTGGGGAGGCAAAGGGAGGAGAGGAGAGAGTAAGAGAGTGGAGAGAATTGGTGAATTCACCCCTCCCCTCTTAGTCCCTTATATAGAGCACTCTGCTAACTTAATTAAGAGTTTATCCAAATCAAATTTGGATTAGGACTTTATCTTCAATTGGTAAGAATTCTCTTCTTAAGAGAATGTGTGCTCCATACCCAAATCCATGCCCATTTTTAACCTAAATCACATGACAACTTCATGCAAGGTTCAAAGTATCGGCCCGTATCGGCCGATGCATATCGTTCTGGGACCCCTCCGATACGCCCCTACAGTTGGTGTATCGGGGGTTTGATCGGTTCAGGGGGTGGAGGAGTCCTAAACCGGCCCCTTGAACCGATTGCGAAAAAAATAATAAAAAAGGCACAAAATGTAGTACCGATTCGCCCGATACGCCCCTACCAGCGTATCGGGCGTATCGATATTTTGAACCTTGACTTCATGTGATCACTTAAGTAATCATATTAGTAATGAGCCTTGAGCCCATTTTCTCTAATGGTTTATGTCCCAAGGTGTTGCATGACCACCTTAGGCCTGAATATCGTATGGCGTGGAACCTACAAAGTTCTCACACAATTCTATAAGGGTTCGTCCCCACCTCTGGTAGAGGTTAGGCCGAATTCATTTCTCAGAGGCAGTGAGCCCCTAACCCAATCAACTTGGGCTTAGTTTAGGCCCAACATTTACATATAAATGATTCTTGGATTCAGCCACCCTATGAAGACCCAAGGATAATGGACTGTAAGATAAAGCCCATCAGGTAATTAGCTTTGTAATGGTCTCTTGCACCTAACCCCTCGGTCCATAATCATCAAAACACTTTCCATAGGGAATGACCTCTTCCCTAATTGCGAAATGCAGTGTCACGCTCTCTACTCGGATGGATCTCGGGATTAAAACCTTTTTCATAAAATAGTAATATAACATATAAATATACTTTGCAAATCAAATTTCAAATATAGTTGAAATCCACTTTCGGTAGTCTAGGTTTCCATCAGAGAGAGTGTAAACCATGATATTCACTTTGTCTGACAAAGGGGTCGATCCCATCACTATGATCACCCACTCAAGTAATTTCCCTAACTGCCCCAACATGCCCAGGTATTTGACCCTTGATAGATCACTAGTTGGTATATCAAAGACAACTCGGTCCAAAACCTAGTTTAGTATCATAATCGTCTGGGATTAAGTGCAACTTTCCGGTTTTGCCCATCTATCTCCAAGGTCTAGGGCATAACTAGAAATTGATACGGGTTTAGTGTTTCTTCTAAACACCCACTGGTTGTGCTTGGGATCTAACCCTAGCAGCTGAGACAAGTTGCTCCACCAGTTCAATAGCACACCATTGTCAGCCTTGTCAGGACAAACTCCCCAAGTCTTTCCAATGGCTGAGAACATTCTAAACTAACACGAGTCTCATAAGTGTCCAATTTAAGGAGTAATTCACAGAAACACACCAATAAGAACATGAAACAATGATGTACTTTATTCATTTACTGATAAATGTATATGTACATCAATTTGATTGGAGTTAAGGGCATACACTATCTAACAAGCAGAACAACCCAATAGCACATGAAATAAACATCCTTTTATTCATAACAAAAGTATGTATAATACATCAGTTGGAGGGCATACATACTAACATAACAATTACCATATTGATGGAATTGAAAGTTCAAATATGGACGAATTCATCCTCTTTTATTATAAGTTACATGATTTGTGAAGATTCACCTTATACTAATGGTATAGCAGAGACATGTATAATGGTTTTTCCTGCCCATCCTCACCAGAAACTTTTTTTTTCGTAAGTCATGGATAGTTAAGATATTGTGTTAAAGAAAAAGATGCATGCTTCCCTAATATGGTACACACCTCTCTCTCTTATATTCATGTATGTGTGTCCAATACTTAGAAATACATGGTCCTTATTCGCAGTGTATTTGTATTGCACACACTTATCTCTCTTATTCAGTGTAAGAAATATATGTATAAGCCTCTATTATAAATCTGCAGGGTCTTTGGTGCTTCCATTTTTTCTTTTTTTTTCACTTTTTTTGTTCATTGGGCTACACAATTGGACAAATTGGAGTGGGTGGGTGGGGGGTGGGGATCCCCCTGTACCAGTAACCTCTCATTCCCAACCCCTGGTGGCAATGAATTTTGATCCCAAGTTTCTTCTGGAACAAGCCAGTGACTGTACCAACAAAGCCAATCATCAGTTGGTTTTGGTGCTTCCTTCTGATTCAATGCTAAGGAACCTTTTATTTATGGTGCTTCCTTTATTTTTTGACATCACATGGAGTTACCTTTCCTAGGTACATGAGATTTTTTAAATGACATCCCCGTTAGTATGCTTGGAAGCTTAGGGGAGTAATGCTCTGAAATATGATGCCTTCTGCTGTTTGACAGAACATATGAAAATAGAGAAATTGAATGATTGTTGAGGATATTTCAAGGCCATTTGAGCATTTATATGCTACTGCAGGATTTTTCCTTTCATGTATTGAGCCATTTATAGGCCATTAGATAAAATTATATAACCAAAATTCAAGTTTGATTACCACACCTTTTTGTTTTAAAGAATCAAAGTCATTTTAAAAGGCATTGTATTGTGACTGATCGAGAAAAAGAAAGAAAGCAATTCTGTAAAAAAGAAATGAATTATCTTACTTTTCTGTCTCATCCACATTTTGCTATCCAGGCTACAGACAAGGCTGTTGTGTTTTTTATCATCATGGCTGCAGTCTTTGCATTTGTGCCTCTATGGTTTCTGATCATGATAGTATTTCTTGAGGCATTCACAAGGGAAATGCCTTTGAGGAAAGATCTCAGCGATAGGTGGTTAAGGCGGGTTAGAGAATGGTGGATCGGGATTCCAGCAGCCCCAGTTCAGCTAATCAAACTTGAAGACAAGAAACGAAAATGAATAATTCTTTGGACGGAGAGAGGTTCCTCTCCTAATAGTCATAGCAACTTGAATATCTCTTTTCACCTGTTCTTTGTAATTAGTGTGTAATTATCTGGTTATAAAGTTAAGTGTGCTTTGTCAAACTATATGGACTGGAAATACAAAATAATATGCCAATGCTTTACAAGGAGGTAGAATTTGTATAATGGCAATGGAGTGGGGTGGGACGGCCCGTATCTGCCAATGGGCACAGGGTTTTCCCCCATCCCCGTCTCCATGGGTCTCCACTCCCCATCAACTTTTTCATGACGTCAACTTCATTTTATTTTTAAAAATAAAACAGTTATACTTTATAATTTACAATCATCTAAATGTATTCAAGCCATATTTTCAAACAATATTAACACAAATTCATTAACACAAAATATATATATATTACTAAACGGGGATCCCTACCGGGCAGGGAGTGCTCATATTCCTGCCAAAGGAGATGGAAAATTTTTCATCATATCTCCCCAGAGGAAAAATCATCTCCATCCCTGCCAAGCACTCGGGAAATGTGAAAATTTATTATATTCCTAGACTATGTAATTCAAAGGCAAATACCTACTTTATTATATATCATAGATTTGTTGAGCTCAGTATTTCACGGATGAATCCAGATCTGTTGGGCTTTAGAAAAATCTGGACCTGTTAAGAATGCTTAGATGATCACATGGATGACCATATTATACGATGCTACCATTGCTCCACAGCCTTCACTTTTTTTTGGAGAATGACGGTTCAGCCCAGGGTCAGGATTTTTAGGCCTAAAGTACAGTTGGAGTAGGTGCCAGATTGGAATTGATGTCAATTCACGGGCTGGCATTGGTGTATAGAGTGGGGGTATTTGGCATTTTGAATGTTTATAGGTCTACAGTGGAATTCAGAAATCTGCATTGGGCCTGTCTGTGTTTTTTCGTTTTTTTTCTTTGGTCTTTTTTCTCCAAGGGACTACACAACGGGGGTAGTTCGTCCCCCAAATCCATCAACCCCCGCCAATCCAGGTACAGACGAAATTCAATCCCAAGTCTCTGCTACAATCAGTATGATTGTACGAGTACTAACCAACCAATTGGTTGGCACCTTGCGGGGGAACTTTGTTAGTTATCCCGTGGTGCTGCCACTGCTTCACTTACATGCAAGGTTCAAAGTATCGGAAACGCTATGCGTATCTGAAAGGTAAATTTAAGAGATGTATCGGGATACACCTTGGATATGCATGGATACGGATGAAAAATTAAGATACGCATGGAAATACATGGAAATGCTATAAATACTCTAATAAATAATAAATAAACATTAATATCACCAAATATAAGACATAAATGAGCTATTTATGCATAAAAATAACATGTTTTAGTGGGTTTTATGAAAAAAAAAACATATTATAATCAATAAATGGGAAGTCGGGAACATAAACATACTATCTAATTATGGACATTATAGATCAAGTAATTATTTTGCATGTTTTATTCTAATTTTTTAAAAACTAAATAATTATTTATTTTTATTCAAATAATTATTTTGCATGTTTTATTCTAAAAATTAAATTAAAATTAAGAAAAGTAAATATGTAACAAAAAATTGAATGGACTTATGGACACAATAGATGAAATAATTATTTTGCATATTTTATTCTAAAAATTAAAAAAATAAATATCAATGTTTTAAAGCATATAGGCATTCCACTACCTAGAGGTGTGAAGCATAAGTTCAGAATGCAAGAGGCGTAAGCCTCTCAAACACAAGGAGGTGAAAGCTTCCTTAAGAGGAGGAATGAGGAAGGGGGATTTCATTTTTTTTCTTTATCTTTAATAAAAATCTTTTATAATAAGAACAATAAAAATGCATAACAATTGTTAAAAGAGGGCTCTTGTCGAAGCAGAGGCAAGCTCGCTTCACTCGCTCGCCGAAGCGGAGCAAGACCCCCCTAACTCAAAAAAATAAATTGGGCTACATCAAAAAGGGGGACGGGGGGGTCTGGGGTGCTTCGCCTCCCAGCCGAAGGAGCAAGGGGAAAACCACTTTCTTTCCCCTTATCTTTTCTAACATTGGCTGAAAATGTAAAAGAAATTTGAAAAAAATATATTTATTTTCCCTCCTTTTTTCACAACCTTGAAAAACTTATTGAATCTTGCAAATTTATAGACGTTTTGGCAAATTTTTACAAGATTTGAGTCTTTAGAAAGGTTAAAAAGCTTTTTGAAGGGTTTGGGAAAGAAAGAGGGCTTCTGAAATGGGTTTAGAAGCCCTCTTTCGAAGGGAGTTTTATTTGCGATTCTGCCACAGTAAAATCGTAACCGATACGGTGACAAAATGCACCGATACTCAACAATATGGGCACGATATGGCATTGAGACAACGAATAGATACGACACATTCAATTTAGTACCATGTACCGTGCCACACCCACAATGGCGTTCTGTAGGCGTGGTGTGGATACCACACTTTTTGATTCCATGTATCTCATATACATTTTATGAATGATCTATACAGTTAATCATAAATATCTAATTTTTGCATTTTATATGATAAATATATTGAAAAATGCATCAATGAATTAATATTAACCAATATTAATTAATTTTTTTATAAAAACAATAGTAGAATAATTAAATTTTCAAAAAATATATTTTAAATATTTAAAATTATTATTTTATTGATAAAAATTAAAAAACATTAAGTAAAATAATTAATATTTTATTGACAAAAATATTAAAATGTGAAACAGATAATAGGGTTTCAACCTTTTAGGGAGAGTGTAAAGTAGGGGATCAAAAATAAAATGTGGACGAGTCTTAACCACGAGTTTTTGCTATAGATGAGAAATTGGGGTGTGGACGGGACCGGTCCATGATATAGCGTGGAGCAGTCCCATCCACAGCCAGCCGAACAGGTGTTCATCCCGTGTATGGGACCGAAACTGTCCTGTCCACGAGATGAACACAGTGCCGAATACTGCCTAGATTTGCTACAGCTTAGCCCTGTAACAAAATCATCTTCTAGGTCAAAGCTCCTACAAAATAGTTAGGTTGTGCTGGTTTTGGATTTTTCCTTCTATGGTGCAGCAAGAGAGATACAATTTTAAAGAAAAATGAGAATAGAAGTGGATATCGAAGGCATGAGAAGAGAGGTTGAAATCATGAAGCATTTGCCTAAGCACCCAACTACCGTGAACTTGAAGGACGCATACAAGGATGACAATGATATAAAAAAAGTACTCTATGAACTAAATTCAAATTTCTGCTTGCTCCAACATTCTTCTGGGAAGTGAATAAAATAAAACCCAAGAAAACCTAATTTCTTGATGTCATTAATAATTTTATTAGGGATAAATCTCTTAAACTACCCCTAAGTTTTTGGAAATGGACTAAAACTTCCATATTATTTGCAAAATGCCCTAAGTTATTCCTAAGGTTTCTAACAATTGACTAAATATTCCCCGGCCCTTAGCGTGCTGTCACAATCTGTTGGGATGTGATACCACATGACTTATATAATTTGTTAAATCCCAATTTTACCCCTTTGTGGTCAAAAATGCCCTTTGACCTTGAAACTTTAGGCAGCTTTTCCTATTCTACTCTTCAATTATGAAAAAGAAAATGTTTTCCCTCTCTAGTGGAAAATTTGGACAGAGTTTCTATGGCTGATTCCAGGATTTACGATTGAATCTGGGTGAGTGAACTTAGATGGAACTTTTCTCTTAAGTTCTATGAAACTCTATTTTATCCTTTCATTATTCTTTAAAATTTCAAAGCATCTTTCCACACAAGTTGTTTGACATACAGTTTTCTGACAAAGAGGAGTGGATATTCCCATGCTTGATTTGAATAATAAGATTTCGAAGAAGATTTTGCTGCTAGCTGAGGTGGTTTCTTACTTCAGACTTCAGAAGCTTGGATGAACATATGGGCTTGAGGAATTATAACAAAGAGGAATGGTATCACCATAATTCATACCAACATCATTCCCCATGAGTCAGGCTAGTGAATCTGTGTTCTTAGAAATTCAAAGTCAAATCTTGGTGTACCATCGTCCATTGGAATAGTAGAGTTTGCTGATGAGGGGAAAAAGGAATCCATGAGAATAGTAGAGTTTGCTCATTTCAAAACAGGGTTTCTAAGCTTCATGCAATCTGGGTTTGGGATTGGAGATCGCAAAGTGAAGAGATAGCATGGGAGTGGAAATTGAGATATGGGTTGTGGAGAATAAGGGTGTCAATTGACCGGTTTTGGATTAGATCCAATCCGGTTCAAACCTTATCAAATTGGACTTGGATGGTCCATTATAATTATTGGATTGGGCCAATCCAAAATAAATTGGTCTATATTCTTATTGGTCTGAGTTGGACCTAAACCAAATTTCCAATAATCTGATCATGAGGCAAACCTTGTTCAATTTGGAACCAATCAAAACTGAACCCGACATAAAATCACTTTTATGAAAGTACTTTCATTAAAGCACTTTTACAGAAAAGCTTTTACAAAAGCACTTTTATGCAAACACTTTTTTACAGAAACAGTTTTATAAAATCACTTTTACGAAAGCACTCCACTAAAAATACTTTTACATGAAAGCACTTTTATGAAAGCACTTTTATAAAAAACCTTTTATGGAAGTACTTTAATAAAAGTACTTTTACGAAAGCACTTCACTAGAAGTACTTTTACACGAAAGCACTTTTACAAAAGAACTTTTGTAAAATCACTTTTACGGAAGTACTTTTATGGAAGTACTTTTATTAAAGTACTTTTACAGAAGCACTTTTACGAAAGAACTTTCACGAAAGCACTTTTATAAAAGCACTTCTATGAAAGTACTTTTACAAAAGTATAAAGGTACTTTTATGAAGGCATTTGTACAAAAGCACTTTTATAAATGTACTTTTACAAAAGCACTTATATGAAAGTACTTTTATAAAAGTACTTTTACGAAAGCACTTTTACAACATTAYAAAAGCACTTTTATGAAAGCACTTTTGCAAAAGTTCTTTTTCAATGCCAAAAGGGTATATTTTTTATAATTTTCAGGTTTTCTTCATTTTAATATATTTTTGTAATTTTTTATATGTTTTGTTTTTTATATAATTTTTGATATTTCATTCGATTTGATTGGATTTTTGTAAATTTCCAATGCTATAAGGGTATA